AGTCATAATTTTAGCATATCTTGTTTTTTATATTATTCTGTTAATGGATGTATGTAAGAAGCTCTTCAATTTATAAATAAAACAACATTGATATATTAATTTTTGCCTTAAAATATAATTATTTAAAAGTAAACGCAACAAGCTGTGATGACTATATTATACAACCAACTTTTGGCAGTGACATTGATTTTCCCTTTATTGGAAGCTTCTCTCCAAAATTTGACATAAGGTTGACTAAGTACAATGATTCAGGACCATTTTTTATTTATCTTCTTTTGTTTGTAAATACCACGGGTTTATTATTCAATGATACCGCTCAAGACTCAACATTTAGAATGGTCGCATTTGACGCAGGTAAATTTTGTAAATTGAGTTATTGTTTATAAAGCGTTTTAATATAAAATATTGATAAATAAATATTTAAACAGAAAAGAATTTATTTAATAGTAACTCAACATCTCTGTTTGAAGATTCTCTTTTCTATAAAAATAAATATTTACTGGCAAAAAATTCTGTATGTATACATGAATTAAATTGATTTAAATAAATATCGAATTCACAAATTAACAATATATTGGACATATAATTATTAATAGCAAAATATATTCCTATATAATAGAAGAATCAGAAAAGAGATAGATAAACGTCAACAATATTTATCCATTATTGGTTTTCTACCAAAATATGATGAGACATTAAATTATATTGAATCAAATATAGGTAATAATTTTTATTTTTTAAAATACTTATTTCTTTCCGTTTTCATTTTAAAATTATTCATATTTTTTATTAATAAAAAAAAATAATTAAAGAAACTTTACCAATGATTCAAAACTCATCTGATCAACTATACACAGTCGTAAGGATTAATCCACGAGATTTCACTATGATTGAGGAACGAGAACAAAGGTAAAGTTATATTCAAATATAATCAACCTTTTCAAGTACAGTTTTTATCCTTAATCTTACACTTATAATAGGCAAAATACAGTAAGTAATTTCATTTATTTTGAAACAATATTGCAAGATAATTTTATTCATAATTTGGTTAGATTATGGGTGCACTAGGAACCGTTCTTGCTTTTTACGGTTGTTTTGTATTTATTTATGTATCTTTATTTGGTAAATTACACATATTACATATAATTTTAGTATTTTTATGAGTTAAAATATTATATATGATATATTTTCACACAATCTCATTTTTAGGAGTTGATTCAATACGACCATGGGGTATTGTGCATAATTTTTGTGGGATCAGAGAAAAAACTCAAGAAAAACTTATAAAAAATATGCAATTAAAAAATACAGATGATTTGGAAAGTCTCATACAAAGAGTTAATGACATGGAAAATTTTTATCATTATCTTAGACTTAATGTTATTGACTCTTCATTATTTGTATCTATTCAACAAAAACAAGAGTAGAATGAAGTTGACGAAACAAGTCACAGCAGAAATGTATGTATGAAACTAAGTATTAAAGATAGTTATGAATCAAGGAAATTAAGAATTTTGCAATAATTACAAGAAAAAAATTTATTTGATCATATACAGATATAAATGCGATTACGAGAAGTGGTATAATCAAGTCTCCAATGATGGAATAAACTTTTAACTACTTTGTTCAGCACAATCAAATACCTTAATTATAATTTATAGTCAAAATTGAAACTATGGTCCAGACATTTTCAGGGTTGAGAGAATAAACTGATAAAATTTTGTGTTTTGTCAGTGGCTTCACAAAAATTTTTCATTGTTCAGGATTAAATGTTCATTTACAACAATATTGTCACTTTTTTTTCAATACTCCGGGATTAGCACTTCCATCACACATTATCATTACACTTTATATGCAGGTTTTGAAAATACGTGTATAACACTAAAATAATTAATTTTAATAATTAGTCCCTTGTTAGAAAATTCATATTCATAGTTATATAAAGGACGATAAGAATAAAATAGATCTTATATCAAAAACTCTAAATTTATTAAGAAAGATACAGTAGACAGAGCAGTATAGTCAGGAGATTTAAATAAAGGTAAATTCCTCAAACCAACCAAACTGTATTATTTATAGACACATTGCAAGTGCAATATATTTTTCCAGACTTTATACATCAGAAATATCTTTGCTCAGAACGATTTCTGTCAATAAGTACTTACGTGGTACGTTAATGTTTATAGTCGACTCAAGCCATTGACTAATATCACGCTTTTGAACAATGAAATATGTGCTAATTAATATTTATAAATGTATAGAGCATTTATTGCTACGTATAACGTTATTCGTCGATCCAATTTTCAGCATAAATATAAATAGGATAATAATTATACCGAAAAAAAATGACGCATATGATATAATTGTTGGATGCATTCCAGCGTTATTAGCGCTGGATATTCAAACTTTATTAGAGAGTTATAGCATACATCAGTGCGTTTGATGTATAGATGAAGAGATATATAGTATACATCAGTGCGTTTGATGCGTACATGGGTGTCTAAATTATTATTTTCGGCAAACATTTCGGCATTGCTAAATTTTTATACGAACCCCTTCAAAATAACTATATTATATGACGTATTTTGATGAAAAGAGTTCAAAAATTTTCGGCAATAATTTCGGCCCTATATGAGATTAATTTCGGCAGCCTAAATGCCGTAATTACTTTTTTGATAAGATGGGCAATTTTAGACACCCATGTATAGTTTGATGTATAATTGAAAGAGATATATAGCATACATCAGTGCGTTTGATGCATAATTGACAGAGATATATAGCATAAGTGTACATCAACGCGTTTGATGTATAATCGGCATTAGCCGGAAGTATCCCACCCGCATAATGCTGGCCGGCTGTTAGCCAGAAGCTTTGAGTCAAATGGGATCTTTGCTATCAAAATGACCTCCGAGGCTATGTTGATTTTGTGAATAAAAATTAAATTTGCCAGCCATCTAGTTATCCAATTTGAATGAATATTTTTTTTAATTTGTAGATTCTATTGAGATTTACAAAATAAAAAAAAGTTTATTCAAATTGGATCACTAGAAATTTTGATTTTTATTCACAAAATCAACATAGCCTCAGAGGGTCATTTTGATAGCAAAGATCCCACATGATCTTGGCCGGTGGTTTCCCGTCTGCATAACGCAAAGAGACATTTAAGCTGCCACAAAATGGCAGGATTCTACTGAGAGAGGGTATGTCAGGGTGCAAAATTGATTGCCTCTTGAAGGGCTGCCCTGTCACTCCTCAATTTTATATCTGTATGCTATTGTAATACGGTCCCTGCTAAATTTGGTTATGTTAATATTCGTGCCATAAACTTACGATTGGTAATTTCATTAAATTTATACTTATCTTCCCCTTGCATATACTGATATTTCTGTATGATTTAACGGTTTGCTACTCATTGTTAGAAAAAGAAATTATACACTGACTTCCAAATGTTTTGCATCACATAATCATTGTTTATAATAAAACATAGTAAAAATTGAAGTTTTTGCTCCATATAAAAATTGCAAAAAAATTTTTTAAATATTTTTTTTTGTATTATTATAAATTTATTGATTGTAGTCTTCAAAAATTATTTTTTCAGATTTTTTAAAAATTTCTCTCAAAAAGAAAATAAATTTAAAATGTTTATTAGTATTTATAAAAATTTTGAAATTTATTTTTTTGATCAGACCAATTTTTGAGAGAAATTTTTAAAAAATCCGAAAAAATAATTTTTGAAGACTACAATTAATGAATTTTATAATAATACAAAAAAAATTGGGAATGGGTATTTCCACACCCGATTTTGGTATTTACACACCCTTTAATCACGTGTAAATTCTATTGTTTATAAATATGTCAATCAAATATCCCTTAAACCGTCCAGCGGCCAAATTTGGCCGCTAAAATCTTTTTTTTTTTGATTTTGTGCGATTGTGCTTGATTTGTCTAAACAATTGTACCCCCTTTCCTAAGCTCGAATCAAAGTTTGCCATTTCGCAGATCAATTCGTGATTTTATATCACGTGATGGCAGTACATGATATCACAATTACATGTTAGTAGTACAACGATTATCTTTTGATCGCCATCAATTAAAAAGCAAAAAAAAAATCAAAAAAAAAAAATCAAAAAAAACTTACAACTATGCCAAAGGCGAGTTCATCTTCGCATTTACCCCCACCTGAAGATACTGAGGTATTTTCTGACAGTGAGGACGAAGAATACATACTGGTTCTGACGTCCCGACAACATTTTTTAAACTATCCGGGGTCAGACGATGACGATGAAGAAGAAGACGAAGTTGTTGGAAATGGTAATAAGAAGGGCCGCAAACAATCAAAAAATGTACCTAAATTGCCACCACCACCTTCAGATTTTGAACCATTGGTTCATTCAAAAAATTTACACCAGGCATTTATTAATTTGCCACCAAATTATAAAGTCGGTTTCTCAAAGCCGATTAACCTTTTTTTTCTTTTTTTTACAAAAATTTTACTGGACAAAATTGTCCTCAATACAAATTCATATGCATTAATCAAAGGCGCTGGCCTTGCTGGACGACAATAGAAAAATGTGGCTCGTAAGGAGCTCCTTACCTGGATTGCTCTTGTCATTTACCAGAGGGTTTTTGGGTTGTCTTCGCTTGATAATTACTGGAATGAGGACCTGAAGCTCCCATTCATCATATTTCTAAACAAATGCCGCTGAAACATTTTGAACAAATCAAAAGGTATCTTCATATTTCTTCCCCCCCTGCGGCAGATATTAATCACTACTTCGAAAAGTTAGAGCCGCTGCTTTCTCACATCTGAGACGTTTCAAAGCAACTTTACACACAGCCTCAGACGTATCGGTTGATGAAATGATGATAAGGTTTTTCGGCAAAAGCATTCACACCATTCGAATTAAGAACAAACCAACCCCAGAGGGGTTTAAGGTGTTGTCGCTTTGTGAATCCGGATATACATTCACTTTTTTGCTGACATTGCGTGTTTCCCCAAGTGATTTGCAAAAAGTGAAAGGGCTCAACCAAACTAGTTGCATGGTCCATCATCTTGTCATGCAACTTCCGTATCGTCGATTTCCATTTAATATTTATATGGATAATTACTTTTCTAACGTTCCTTTTTTTCAGAATTTTTGGCAAGTTGGAATTGGCGCTTGCGGTACTGTTCGAACAACAGCATCTGGGTTCCCTAGGGAACTGAAGATAGATAAGAAACTTCGACTTGACTGGGATGTACGTTCTGGTGTTGCAGTAAATGAAGTGTTGGCTGTATTTTGGCAGAACAATGGTCCGGTCACAATGCTGTTAACAATTCACGGTCTTGTTGGTGAATATTGGGAAATTGAACGTGAAAGACGGCGGCTGAGAGAAACAAGCACCAATGTGGCAAAAGTACGTGTGGTGTTTGGGTCTCAACCAAAAAAAAAGCTAAGGATTCCCAGGGTAATAGACGATTACAACCATCACATGAATGGTGTAGATGTTGTGGATCAACTACGGTCGTATTACTGTACGCAACAAGTAGTATGAAAAAACTGGATGCCGCTTTTTTTTTGGTTGTTAGATACGGCCATTATCAATGCATATCGTATCACCCGAATCCTAGGATCTACTCAGGAGCATAAGGACTTTCGTCTTGAGCTGGTGTGGGATCTCATAAATAATATAAGTAGTGAAGAGGAAATACAGCTTAGAGGTGGGTCAAAAAAAAAAAAAAGAAAAAAAACAAATGAAGAAACAAAAAAAGAAACCAAACGGCCAAAAGTGACGAAACACTTCGAACTTTCGAACCAACGGTTTGCTCCCGGTAACCATTTAGTTGAGTGGCAAAAGCGAGAATCGTGCCAATGGTGTGCGTGGTTGGCAAGTAAGAAAAACTTGGATTTGGATCGTAAGACTCCACACTGAAGTAATCTTTGGTGTGCTATATGTAACGTACCACTTTGTTGTAATAACTCTCGAAATTGTTTTTTAGAGTTTCATAAAAAATGAAAAGGCCATTAAAACTCTGCAGGGATGGGAAATGTTTCTGCAATAAATAACCCTGCAGATTGTTATCATGATGGAATAGGAATTGAAAAGGATTAACATAAGGCACTCATTAATTATCAAAATTTTTGTAAGATGAATGATGTTAGCAGAACATCTCAAGTTGGTCATTGTTATCAAAATGGGAATTGGAATATAATTTTTAGATGCTTATTTTATAATAAAAAGCATTTCATTAAATTAACCATTTGGGTTTTTTTAATTTACGTTTATTAATTGTTATATAATTGTGATATAATACATTGTAGTTAATTTCATCACTCTAATTATTTTGAAAACAAAAAAATTTATTATGGATAAGTCCCCGCATTTCATACCATGTTATTTCGTAAAAGTCTGTACTACTTATATTTAACTTTTCAAAGCGATCTAGAAGCTTTGACCCAACAAAATACTCTTTAATAAAAACGCACCATTTTCCGGGTAATTTGGGTTTACGCCTTTCATTTGCATCACATGCTATGTGCAATAATGTAACAGTTGCACAATCACATGATCCGAGTTTCCGTGAGTTGTCCTAGCCAATTTTAGTTTGTCTTCCAATAAAAAAATTTTACTTAAGGTTTATCTTTTCACCAATTATTTTAGCGGGCAAATTTGCCCGCTAAACTCAGACGGTTTAAAGGATAGCGAAAAATTGCTAGTACCTCTAAATCACGTGATTAGCAATAATTGCCGGTTTATATAATGTTAACAATTACCTTTTTGCGTATTAGTAAATTTTAATATATATAATATTCTCAAACACTAATCTGGAGGTAAGGCTCTAATTCTAACCTAACAGCATGAAATTTTACTTTAAAATCAGTTTCAATAGAATCTTTTTACTCTTGTATATATACAAATATGGCAAAGTAACAGAATTAATACTTTGATCCGGATTTAACAATTGAAACATTATCGGGCATATGCTAAATCCAGATGTCAATATGCAATAGACCTGGATTAAATCTGGATCCAAGTATTATTTCAATCAGCACGATACATAGTACAAATTTACATAAATACAATCTGTAGTTCATGCAGTTCGCCAAAAGGAGCTATCGTATCGTATTATTTTACTAACTGCAAAACGTCAAATAAAGATTGTTAGTAATAATAAAGCAAGTTTCTCAAATATGTAAATAAGTGATGCATTATGTGTATAGTCAAAGTTTGATTCATAAATACATAAGAAATTTGATTGTGCTACATATTCAAACTTTGACTATACATAGTACAAGTTATTAAAACGTAACATCTTTAAGATCATTCATATTTGCAATTCTTTTGGTAATGTCCAACGTTACACATCTTTTGCATCGACGTTGTTGCTTCACTTTAGGTTTAACAGCTTCATAAGAAGACTTGAGCCTTTTTGTACCTAATGGACGACCCTTTCCCTTACACTTTCTTGGATTTTGCAATTGAGGATTTACATTTTCTTTATCAATACTATTATCACTTTGCTGATCTTCATCTGATTTATTATCATCGTTTGATTTATCTGATTTATCATCGATATCATCTTCAGCAAAATCTTGAAGTAAATCGATCAGCTCTTGAGATTTTGACTTGTTCTCCAATGCTTTATTTAAAGCCTTCTTATACATGCCGTGAAGCTTTCCATAAACAATTCTTTGCTCAAAAGTTGTCATATTCTCTTCACGAAAGTCTGCTCTTTCTTCTCTGAAAAGATACAAATAAGGAATTGGAGAATTATTTGGTAAGGTTATCATATCTTGAGTAAACTTGTCTGCCATTAAAAACGGTTCTTCTGACCCAGTATCATCAGTTGAGTACCATTGAGAGGGCAGCATTCTAATATGAAACATTGCATTACGTGTTGTTAACATTAATTGAAAGTAATGCCTGCACACGATGCCACATTAGATAATAGAAAGGCAGGAACACAGATATGAATTATTTTGTAGCATCAAAATATGATGCTTAATCTTTAATGAATTTCTAACAGTAATTGCCCAAATTTCTTTAACATTATGTAATCCAGCAAATTCAATCATTTGGTCAAGTGTAGCTTGCGGCTCATCAATAGAGTCCTCTTGAATATCCAATAACTCATTTGCCTACCATCACAGTATTAATTACCTCTTTATTAAAATTAAACAGTGTTACAACAAAAAAGTATTAATTACCTCTTCATTAGTTATATCTTGTTGAGAAATTCTATTGGCAGTATAATATACCGATTGATTTATTTGATCGCGTAACATTTTCAAAATGTTAGGTTTAAGATATCGTTGGAGACATTGATCAATCTCAGTAAACAAAAAGTTTACTTTGTCTTGATTCCAAGCATTCGGTATTGCTGCACGCCAAAATCTATATTCAAAATATAAATTATTGTTATCTAACATTACAAGCCTTAATTGATATTGCTTTCTTAATAATACCTATATTCATTTTCCATGTCTTGAAGATTAAGTAGTCTGTGTATTTCTGATACAAGTTCACATAACGAAACATTGAAATTATGCAACAAGTTTTTTAAGCATCCGTTTACTGATTCAACACGGGACGTAGCGATCATGCCTCCTGTAAATTTATATTTGATAAAGCAATGTGCCCAATGATTTTTTGATTTATAAAGGAATTCCAAGTAACTTTTAGCATTAGGAAAATCTTGTATGAGATTATTGAAGTAATGTTCAAAGGCATCCTTGGATAAACTATTTCGACAACGATAAAAATCATTAAGAAAACGTTGATAAGTTTCTCCTAATTTTTTTCTGAGATTTTTGTGTAAGTTTTGTGTAATATGGTAAGCGCAATGTATAGGATATGTTGAAACTAATATTTGACGGATTGCAAAGTCAACAGCTGGATCTGCATCAGTCAATATTACAGAAGGGTAAACATTAGTAGCTTTAATAATTTGTTAAAACATCCACGAATATGATTCGAAGCTTTCATCAATCAAAAGAGCTTGTGCTAATAAAATATTTTGTCTGTTATTATCGAATCTGACAAATAATGACAAGGCCATACCATATCGATTGGTTTTGTGTGTCACATCATTTAAAACACAATCAGAGTATAGAATCCAATTTTCCACTTGCGTTGGTGTCATCCAAAGTAATCGAGTTAGAGTATTGTCATTATCCCAATCTCAGGCAACAATCCAACGTGAGTCTGTATCCTTTTTTTGATCAAGCCAATTTGAGATCTAGAAATAGTTCTTGTTAGATTTATAATTTATTGATATAGATACTTGCTAACAATCATAAATTTACCTGTGCAGCATCATTGTTCAATGTTTTACTATTAGGTCGAAATTTTTGTATAGCGGCATATAAATCTTTGGAATAGATTAGTTGTGTAGGATATTTCCCTTCAAGAAATTTTCGTTGAGATGTAGCTCCAAATTTGCAGTATATGGTCATAAATCTTACATCTTCCAACATCGCGTCAGTAAATTTCTTGTTATCCTCAAATTCGATTCTTTTTGGATTCAATAAGTGATTATGCTCATCAACAATTTTATTGACAATTACTGAGTTTTCAGAATTATTGATTTTAGGGCATGATACATTAACTAGAAAATGGCATTGTGTTTTTTTTGTATTTGTATCTTTTGTTGAATTCGATTCATAAGTACAGCCATGATCACATATAAAAGCTCTTCGTCATACAATGTTATTATCACGGTAAACACGATCTTTAATTATACGAAATCCTCGAAACTTTGATCATTCATTAAGAAAAGATTCACACAATTCCCAAGTAGCAAACTTTTTTCCTGAATATAAGGACGATGATTCAATATTATTACAGGATAACAAATCATCATGTATTCGTAAATAACCTGTTACAATAATGTAGTATATTAAATGTATAAATTAGTTTGTTTACATATCCCTTAAACTGTAGACAATTCCAGGCAAATTTGCCTGGAAAATTGCTATAAATTTGTTTATGATTTACTTTTTTTAAAATTTAAAATA